AACCTCTTTAACAAGTGGTGCTGGGAAAACTGGTCAACCACCTGTAAAAGAATGAAACTAGAACACTTTCTAACACCATACACAAAAATAAACTCAAAATGGATTAAAGATCTAAATGTAAGACCAGAAACTATAAAACTCCTAGAGGAGAACATAGGCAAAACACTCTCCGACATAAATCACAGCAGGATCCTCTATGACCCACATCCCAGAATTTTAGAAACAAAAGCAAAAATAAACAAATGGGACCTAATGAAACCCAGGAAGTTTTAAAGAACTCTTTCTCAAGTAAATGTTAGGCCAAAGAGGATATGAAAACCAAAATTGCAGAATCTATGTAAAAATATTGCAGAATCTATATAAAAAACTTAAGTATGATCAAAGTATACATACCAGAAACTATAAAATATAGCTATATCAGTATTCAGAGCCTTAGAATATTTATATTAATAAACAAGTAAGGATGAAGATAATTCATTCAAGAAGAAGCAACAACAAAATAAACCAATGGAAGGAAGGAATTAATACAGACAAAAGCAGAAAAATGATACAGTCCGTGGAATTCTCCAGGTCAGAATACTGGAGTGGGTAGCCTTTCCCTTCTCCAGGGGATCTTCCCAACCCAGGAATCGAACACAGGTCTCCCATATTGCAGGCAGATTCTTTACCAGCTGAGCCCCATGGGAAGCCCTTAGGAGGGAAAAAAAAAATCAAACTATAATAGTTAATTTGAAGGGAAAATGAGGAGTAGGGAATGGAGAAAGCATAAATACTATGTAGCCATGACAAAGAATCTAAGAAAATGAAATGCATTGATATAAATGCAAACAGCAAGGAACAGCTATCATTTGTGCTTAAAAACAGGGAGACCACATACGCCCAAGTTTCTTCACTGATGCACAGAACATGTCAAGAGGGCAGTCAGATATGGTGCTGGGACTCCACCTGGCGGAGGTGTTGTATGATGACAATAGGGGGAGAGCAACTTGCAATTTATTCATAAATTAAAAAAAAAAAAACTTTTAAGAAAAAATTTTGGAGTTTTGTAGCATTAGGTATGGGCTTCCCTGATAGCTCAAAAGGTAAAGAATCTGCCTGCAATGCGGGAGACCTGGGTTCAATCTCTGGATTGGGATGATCCCCTGGAGGACGGCATGGCAACCCACTCCAGTATTCTTGCCTGGAGAATCCCATGGACAGAGGAGCCTGGTGGGTTACAGTGCATGGGGTCGCAGAGTCGGACACAAATGAGTGACTAAGTACAGCACAGCATTAGGTATATCATTTGTTTAAAAACTGACAATTAAAAATATATTTTAATTATTTAGGATTTCTAAAGCTTAGAAAAACTATGGGTACATTTATTTTTATTATTGGGAGGTAAGGGTTCAATCTAAGCATTTATAAAGTGACCCTGCCTTTATATCATACATTTGCACACAATATAAGTACTTATGAAAGTTCAGAACACAGACTTCATTGCCCCTAAACCTAGGTTTGAACTCTGACTCTGCCAACTCTTCATCCAGCTCTGTGACCCTGGGCAGTTTCCTACCCTGTTAACAGTGGTAGGTGCTGCTCTTCATTTCTAAGGAAGAAGAATGAGATGAAAGAGTGACAGAGGGAATTTAGGATACATTGTTAGCTAAATCTTTCATATAGAAGTACTTGGATACTGGGATATCTTTTCTTTAAGAGATATTTTAAATACCACGTAAGGAGTATTTATTCTACTCACGAGTGAAAATCTGGGAAATGCAGAAAAGTATGAGCAAAGAAAAGGCACCCACAATTTAATGCCCAGAGATAAAGTTTTGACAGGAAACCTCACCACATACAAGCAGAAGTCTCATCCCACCCCAAGCCACGCATCTCAAGGGGCATGAACACCAGACTTTCCTTTCCTCCATCCCCCATCAGTCCCATTTCCACATTGTTCCAGAAAAAATTACTGGAAGGAAGCTGCACAGCAATGACCAAGGTCCTTAAGCCAGACCTCAGTTACCGCATCTATACAATAGGATACTACCATCTGACTACTGTTAGAAGCCATGTGACCTGTTAGAAGCCATGAATGCTACTCATCTAGCACTGTTCTTGTGGTGACCCAAGGGCGAAAGAGCAGATAAAACCAAGGAGGGTCCTGGAATGCAGGAACGGAAAAACCAGACCCTTATCATCCTTCCCTCCCCCACGTTGTGACTATTAACAAATTTCAGGTCCTCCTGAGCAGTATAACCTGTCTCCCCTCCTGCCCCATATAGGGAGAAGGTATTTGCCTTACTCTTCCCCCCACCCAATATCCAATATTCCGCCGCCCATACTCTGCCTCATCCAATCAGCAAATGACCCACAAGACCCCTATCCCATTCCTTGTACCCTGGGTAGAAAAATGGACCAAGGACACCTATTCAGCGTCGGCTCTCTCTGACTATAAGGAAGCTGGCCCGCTCTGGTGGCAGCGATTCTCCCCTCCCCCACTCTAATAAACTTTATTCTCCTTTCAGTCTGTCTCATGTCTGGAAATTCTTTTCCAACCCATGCACAGACCACAAGAATCCTCACACATGTACAGGGCTTAGTGGTTTCACACATTTCATCTCATCTCTGTGAAAATGCTTTGTACACCATCAAGCTCCGTTCAGAACATGGTGTTAAGGTCTTGTGAATTTCTGATTTGTCCTGATGACAACTGCATTTTCCAGAAAGTAGAAGCAGCATGCGGAGGCAAATCACCTCATTCTAAACAATAAAAAATTAGGGAGAAGGTGACAGTATCACGAAGTAGTTTTCTTTACATACTAGAAAACAGAAGTGACCTACACTTTCCCTTCAAGATCTTCCCTAGACCCAAAATATTCCATAATTTTTCCCCACAAACTCTCAAAACTCCTGTATATTCCTTGACAGCACTTGTATCACAAATGTACTGAGCACCAATCAGAATGAAGTATAAAGGGTGTACAAAATGTGAGTGTTCCGTGTTTCATGGGAATCTGAACCCACAGTCCAAACGTGCGCTGAATCCAATCTGAAATCTCTCAGGCACATGAGTATTCACACATCCTACACCCCACCTCTAGCACTGCTGCAGATTCTCAGCAGACCTGCCTTTAACCTGAAACATGCTGTTAAAACCCAGTCATGAAGCTTTGTCTCTGGAGGCTTCTGACTGAAAAGGGCACAGAGTGCTTGTTACCAGACCCCTGGTGGAGATTGTAAAGAGTGAAACCTGGAGACAAACTTTCATTACAACTTCCTGCAGCTCACCTGTCTTGCTCTTTCAGTGAGGGCAGTGGCCTCACTCTTGTCTAAACTCTTGCACCATCTTGTAAAATAGGCTGTCTATTTTGCACCAATACATATGGCTCATCATTTTCTTCTAGGCTCTCTGAATCCAAAACCTGTTAATTAGCAGAAAGAAACCCATTGACACACGATGTTTCTCAGTAACAAAACTCAGGCAATATTTCTAAAAGGGGTAGGACAGGGAGAATAAAATCTATTGGGTCGTAGACCTAGTGACTTTTAAATGGTTTGATTACCCTGTTTGACCAGGCAGATAAAGGCCTAACTTGGCCTTTTATTATTATAATGTTATAGGAAAGGAAGACGATGAAAGTTTTAGGTTCTTATTATGGGCACTGAGCTGTCTGTAGCATTTAGGTTTTTGCCAAGGGCATTTGGGGTTGTTACCATTAATTAGTGCTTTTAGCTCTCAGACTTTGAGCTTTGAGGCCTATGTATACAGACATTCCAGTACTCTTGCCTGGAAAATCCCATGGGCAGAGGAGCCTGGTAGGCTGCAGTCCTTGGGGTCGTGAAGAGTCAGACAGGACTGAGCAACTTCACTTTCACTTTTCACTTTCATGCATTGGAGAAGGAAATGGCAACCCACTCTGGGGTTCGTGCCTGGAGAATCCCAGGGATGGGGGAGCCTGGCAGGCTGCTATCTATGGGGTCGCACAGAGTTGGACACGACTGAAGTGACTTCGCAGCAGCAACAGCAGCATACATACATTCAACATTGGGAAATCACTTCATTCAAGAAAATGAAATTCAATACACCTAAAAATTAGGGCCTCTCTGGTAGTTCAAGTGGTAAAGAATCTGTCTGCAATACAGAAGACCCTGGTTTGATTCCTGGGTCAGGAAGATAGGAAAAGGGATAGGCTACCCACTCTAGTATTCTTAGACTTCCCTGGTGGCTTAGCTGGTAAAGAATCCACCTGCAATGTGGGAGACCTGGGTTCTATCCCTGGACCGGGATGATTCCCTGGGGAAGGGAACGGCTACCCACTCCAGTATCTGGCCTGGAAAATTCAGTGGCCTGGACTATACAGTCCATGGCGTGACAAAAGAGTTGGACACAACTGAGCGACTTTCACTTTCAAAAATTAGATTCATGTCATATAGTGACCTGTATGACAGTGACCTGATAGCAAATGAATTGTCAAGTTGTTTTGACAGAATATATGCATATTTGGAAAAAAAAAATAAGTGCTTCTGAATTTCTTTAGCATCCTGGAATATGTCAGTTGTTAAGAGGCTTCCCCAGTGACTCAATCATTAAAGAATCCACCTGCAGTGCAGGAGATGAGGGTTTGATCCCTGGGTTGGGAAGATCCTCTGGAGTAGGGTATGGCAACCCACTCCAATATTCTTGCCTGGAGAATGCCAGAGACTGAGGAGCTTGGAGGGCTACAGTCTATGGGGTCACAAAGAGTAGGACATGACCGAAGTGACTTAGCACGAATGCAAGAGGGGACCAAATATCTTGTTGGAGAGGTTAAGATACTTCTTGAAATTGATGTGGTTGTTGTTCTTTTTTGTTGTTGGTTTGTTCTGAGAGTGAAACACTGGCAAAAGAGCTGCTATGTAAGTAGCTTGAACAGAATTGTTTGGCACAGAAGGCATCTGCAGAAATTCAATTTTTTTCTTTGAATAAGACTAAAGAAGCAAGTAAGAAATTGAGCTCCAAATTCTATGGATCATGGTGTGCACAGCACAGCAGAGTAGCTGAATCTGAATGCCTGAAATCTGAATCTGTTTTCAAAAATTACCTTTCTTTGCTTCTTTGTCTTTCTTCAGCTGCTTGCCTTCCAGTGCTTTTATGCACATTAAGATATTGTGTATCTTAAGGCAATACACTAAAAGTCTAAACAGGACACAGGTCGTTTTTCCACATCTAAGTATTGCAGTTAATTCTATCCATGTTATTTAATTGGAAATTTTTATTAAATCTCATAGAGCCATCATCATGTTCCTCTTTTGTTCACTACTGTGAATTACTTCTAACAGGTAACTTTCTCAAAAGAGTTTAACAATAATTGAATCTATCACATCCACATGATAATTAAAACATCCTATGATTTGGCATACCTATCTAGATGCACCAAGGGCTTCCCAGGTGCTCTAGAGGTAAAGAACCTGCCTGCCAGTGCAGGTAGACGTAAGAGCTGTGGGCTCGATCCCTGGATCTGGAAGATCCCTGGAGGAGGGCTTGGCAACCCACTCTAGTATTCTTGCCTGGAGGATCCCATGGACAGAGGAACCTGGCAAGTTGCAGTGCATAGGGTCGCACAGAGTCGGACAAGACTGAGGCGACTTAGCATGCATGCATACATTGGAGAAGGAAATGGAAACCCACTCCAGTATTCTTGCCTGGAGAATTCCAGGGACAGAGGAGCCTGGTGGGCTGCTGTCTACGGGTTCGCATGGAGTCGGACATGACTGAAGCAACTTAGCAGCAGCAGCAGCAGCAGTTGTTCCATGTCTGGCTCTAACTGTTGCTTCTTGACCCACGTACAGGTTTCTCAGGAGACAGGTAAGGTGGTCTGCGATTCCCACCTTTTTTTTTTTTTTTCATTTATTTTTATTAGTTGGAGGCTAATTACTTTACATCATTGCAGTGGTTTTTGTCATACATTGACATGATGGCTATTATAAACAGTGCTGCGATGAACATTGGGGTGCATGTGTCTCTTTCAGATCTGGTTTCCTCGGTGTGCATGCCCAGGAGTGGGATTGCTGGGTCATATGGCAGTTCTATTTCCAGTTTTTTAAGGAATCTCAAATTCCTTAAATTTCTCAAATTTCTCATGGATTATTTTTTAATCAACTCATCAGTTCTGGAATCAAATAAGTTGAATTTACTTTAGCAAATACAGAAAAGAAACCGTATGAACTAAAAATATCATGTGGTATCTTTATAATTTTTAAAAACTCAATACTTTAAGACATAATCTTGTTCTTGAAAAACTAAATATGAAAAGACTACTTAGAAATTTACTATTTTTTGCATTAAACAATGAGAAATAGCATTCTCTTGAAATTGCTTATAACTATCAGAGTCTGGCTCTCTTAGGATGCCTCATAACAATATTAACACCCTATAACATGTTTTTGTTTCTTCCTTTGTTTCCTGAAATTAATGTCTCTGGGGCAAAAGAGCACTTAGAAACACTTCTCAGCATCATTAAATGTTCTCTGGTTATCACGTTTAAAACGCTAATTCCAGGTTTCATGGACCTCAGCTCCATACCTTGGATCCACATTTGATGTGGTTTTGTCAGTAATCAGTATCTTGTTTTTCCTGAGAAAAGCCCTGGCAAGGCACACCAGTTGTCTCTGTCCAACACTCAAGTTTGAACCTGATTCTTCTAAGTCAGTATCAATTTTACGAGGAAGATCTTCAATGGCTTCTTTCAGTTGTACCTGTGGATACAGAAAGAAGAATGACATTTTCCAGAATAATTACTACTGAAATAGATGACTTTTAGATGCTAGAACTTTGATGTTCTCAGGACTTCTTCTGTATCTTACATGTATAGCCACGTGATGGGGAGATCTCTTTCCAATGAGTGTTCCTTGAGAAAGATGGTGCAGTCAATCAGGACAGAAAGATCTCAGTGTCCTCCATCCCTGAAACAGAACATCCACCATAAACACAGAGGGATTAGTTAAAGAAATCTCTCACAGGTGAAGCTATTTGTCTCAATGTGGTTTAAACAGAAAAGTTAAATGATCTTCAAGGTTGAGTTGTTTCCCATAGTACATTCTGTATAGGAGTTGGTACAATAAAAAGAAAAAAATATTTTTAGTTACTGCAGGAGGTATAGTTCTCTGAAGATATAAACATCACTTGGTGTGGTCCTTTAATGGACTGGACCCTGGTAGTCCGGAGTTGATGATAAGAAAGTGAAAGAAGGAAAGAGGCTAATATTCCCTGGGTTATGAAGAAAACCAAAGCCCTAGGACAGAGCTTGTACTGCTCACATAGGCACAGGGCACCCTCTCAAGAAGTCTTGAAAGCCTGGGCAGGAAAATGAGCTCAGCAGACTTCCACGCTCCAGAGAATCAGCCAGAAAGAGAGACAGAGAGTGAGAGAGAGAGAAGGAAGGACATGGAGACCCAAGTCTCTAGTGGAACAAGAGTGCTTTACTGAATTCTGTGAGAATATATATACCGTATTACAAGGTAGCTTCTTCAGATAAAGATCAAAAGACCAGACTTTACAAGTTACCAAGGGAACAAGGAGTAACAGAGGCCATAAAGCCAAAAGGCAATCCATATCAAAAGAGGGTCATAAATAATCCATTTCAACATATGGAAAAGCTAATGAAGGAAATCCTATGCATGCATTCCATCTCTTTGATCTCAGTCCTGGGAGCAGCATGCTGCTCTGCTCATTCCTGACAGGAACTGATAAGGAACAGAGGGCTCATGAGAGACAAAAAACAGCACACAGGAATCCTACTGTTAAACATTCCCTGACAATCACTACTTTATGATTTTGGAAGATATGAAGGTTTAATCTGCCTACGGCATGAGATCTGGGTTTGATTCCTGGGTTGGGAAGATCCCTTGGAGAAGGGAATGGCAATCTATGCCAGTATTCTTGCCTGGAGAATCCAATGGAGAGAGGAGCCTGGCAGGCTACAGTCCATGGGGTCACAAAGAGTAAGACACAACTGAGCAACTAACACTTTCACTTCACTTTCAAAGGTTTAAAAAAAAAATACAAATTCAAACAGTGACAAACTATACTTTATACATTAGTAAACCTACAGTGTATTTTGGCTTTGGTTCTTTCCCAAGATTAATCCCTTAAGTACTGGCCCAGTCAAGTGTATTTTCTTCAATGTTATAAATGTTTTGCAGTGAATGAAAACTGATGAAAAACAGTACATGATATAACATCTTATTTCCCACATACCATGGAAATAAGTGATGTTTGGATTAATCTATCTCCATAAAATCATGACCACAAAATCTTAAAAAAAAACAAAATTTTAACCACCAATTTTAATCTGAAACTACATTGGGTGGCAGGAACCAGTGAATATTTGCTCTGGGGAAATATTATAGAACAAGAACCAAACTCAAGCTATACTTGAAGTTAAAGAACAAAGAGTAAATATATTTGGTGGCCCCATGGACTATACAGTCCATGGAATTCTCCAGGCCAGAATACTGGAATGGGTAGCCTTTCCCTTCTCCAGAGGATCTTCCTAACCCAGGTATCAAACCCAGGTCTCCCAATTGCAGATGCATTCTTTACCAGCTGAACCACAAGGTAAAACCACTAAACTAAAGGACAAATGAAAAGTTGAAAAAGTATTATATGCAGTATTGAAAGTTATTTTCAAAATAATTGCCTTATAGGAAAAACATATATTAATAAACAATTCAAAGGAAGACAAATGGTCAATAGACATAAAAAAGGTCCATCTTCACAAATCAAATAAATTCAAATTAAAACTGCTTGAATTATTTTTAAATTTAGACCTAGAAAAAATGTAATTCAGGTACTCAAAGATGGCAATGAAATAAGCATACAAGAGTTTTAAGAGGGCAAACTGATCGGAACCTGATCAAAGCCAGTTTGGCTTTTCACCAGTTTATCCTGCTTCTGGAAATATAGAAAAAGGAAAGATGGACCTAAATATTAGGGTTAGGTAAATATATATCCCTATGGATATGGCCATCATATCATAATTAGCAATAAACTGTTAAAAGTGAAAGACTGCATAAATTGCATTAAATACCATATTTTGAACATTATCTAATTCCATAAATAAACATTAATCATAGAAAATTAAGAAGGACTCTAGATTCAAATTTATTTCGTTTTATAGAAAAGCATGCATGCTCAGGTGTGCAGAAAGATTTCTAGGGAAAAGAAAATACAACCAAAATATCAGCAAGTATATTTGACTAACAAATAAATTCTTATTCTTTTCTTCTTCTATAGCTTTAAATTTTTTACATAAATAGAAAAATAAATATTCTTTCTTAAAATTCACAACAATTACCAATAACCATAATGTACAACTTCTCTTAAACCCTATGTCCAACCTGTGCTGTGAAAACACTAAAACCTCAGTGAGGTCATTTGTATAAAGTCATTTATATAAAGTCAGTAAGTTGAGAAAGCAGATGAAATGTGAGAAGGAAAGCAAATGCCCAATGAGAAGATGAAACCTCAGTTTTTCTCTATAAGGTGGGCCTTGTATCTGGGCAGCACTTCCTGGATGGACTCATTTCACATTTCCCGGGGAAGCAAGGGTGGGGGGCTAAAGGAAATCATGAAGGTACCTCAGACTTTACATACAAGATGGCAATCATGGTCAACAACCAACTTCACAAAGTCTGGACCCCTTTTTAAAAGTTAACACTGAATTACCAATATCAATGGGAGGAATGACTTAAAGCAGACAATTAGAATTGAAATCTGTAATTTTTCAGTAACATACTTTCTGATGTTAGCTCTTTATCAGATAATGTAATCTGCTGCTGCTGCTGCTGCTGCTAAGTCGCTTCAGTCATGTCTGACTCTGCATGACCCTATAGACGGCAGCCCACCAGGCTCCCCCTGTCCCTGGGATTCTCCAGGCAAGAGTACTGGAGTGGGTTGCCATTATCTTCTCCATAATGTTATCTACAACCTACATAATCAGTCCTCACCCAATTAACAGTTCTTTTTTAAATTCCGTACATTTTCTAGTCCTGTATGTACTCAGCTGCTAGTTCTACTTCAAAGATGAAGAAATTGGTTGCTGAAGTTGGAAGTCTAGTGACTTTCCTTGTCAGATTGCCCCAGACTATTCTTTCCAGTCCTCATAACTATCTCACGGCCATAATTAGTGTCTCCAAACTGCCAAACACACTCAGTCCCTTCAGCCTCTGTCTTTTTTGCTTTTAACCAAGATCTTTTGAAACTTCCTACATTCTTTTCTGAACATTAACTAATAGGACATTTAGAAGAAATATTGAGATCCATTGTTGAATTGTACAGAGAAATCTGGATGTGGAGCCAGAGGACCAGAGCTCTAGATGCTTCACATATTACCTAATGTTTCTCAGGTCTACAATGGGAAACCCCTACTCTTCTGGTGGTAAAGAACGTGCCTGCCAATGCAGGAGACAAGAGACTTGGGTTTGATCCCTGGGTTGGAAAGATCCCCTGCAGTAGGCAATGGCACCCCACTCTAGTATTCTTGCCTGGAGAATCACATGGACAGAGGAGTCTGATGGGCTATAGTCCATGGTGCTGCAGCCAGTCGGACATGAATGAAGCAACAGCACACAGGCCTGCATTCACCAACCTTCCCTCCATCCCTTCCAGCCAGAGGACCAGGTTCATCTGAAAATCTGGAAAACCTACAGCCCAAAATATCAGGTACTCCTAAGAGGGATGGACCCCCTTGGTAATGCCAATTACCATCTTCCCAGAAGCTTCAGGGGCTCACTCCATGGGACCATCACACTTGAGTGAAGGGGCCCCTGAGCCCCAACCTCCAGAGAAACAACTGGGGCAATGGACCTCCTTGACTACTCCTGTGAACCTCTCTCTGACCGGAAGCTTCTCTTCCAAAAACCAACAAAATTGTGTCTCCAAAGAGTAAATGATTAACAGCAGGAATTGTTGCACTCAGAGGGGAGCTATTGACCTTGGCCTAGTGACATACAACACTGTCACCATAAATAGAAAAAAAAGGTGACAGCCATCCAGGTGACAGTGGCCAAGAAGACCAGCCTGGATTTCTAGCTGGACACAGGTCTGCTGCCTCCCTGGCTGCGATGGTCCTGGGGGACCGAGTTGCCCTGGATTACCTGTTTGCTGCCTGGGGAGGGTTCTGGGTACCAGGCAGCATGTGGAGCTATTTTCATGAGGATGCCTGTAGCCTCATTGAAGGAGGCACAGATGGACCACTGGGAGAGCCACTCACCTGCAGACACCAAACCACCTGATCTAGGGAACAATCTGGTGCCAGGGTGTGGGGGCCACCCAGGTGTCCCTGGATTTTTGCCTTTTCCGGGCCTCTTCATGACCCTCAGAATCTAGAAAGCTGCAGATGGCGGTTGCTCAGGGAAAGAGCAGTTAGGGCCGAGGTCCAGGGACACCAGACGCGTCCACAGGTGGCAGGAGAAGTCCTGCTCCTCTCCAGGGCCTGATGACCCCACATCAGCAGGAAGCAGCTGCAAGAGCTGGACCTGCACCCTCAGGGCCCTCATGATGAGGAGCAGGACGAGGACAGAGGAAGGATGTGTCACCACAAAACCCATCAATAGTTCCCAGAGAGAAAGCACAGAATCTGGGTCATAAAGTCAAAGTCCAACCTTTTTTTCTTTTTCTTTTTTCTGAGATGAGTTTCACTTGCTCACAGGACATCTTGTGCAGAGGTCTCGAACCCAGGCCTTCAGACCAGAGTCCCTGGTGTGAAATGGCTGTGCTGACACCTCAGCTCAGAGGGCCATGTCCAGAGACGCTGCACCTGGCACTGATCTGCAATTGCAGCTGTATAGCTGAGTTGACTCTCCAAGAACTATGCCTACTCCCAGCTGACAGGAACCACATACAGCAGCCTGGCTGGTTGTAGGGAGAACATATCCTCTAGAGCTTGACTTCTCACCCCTCC